TAAATTTTAAATAAAAAATTAATAATTTATATAAATAATAATTATAAAAAATTTCCCATATGAAAAAGTTTTAAGTATTTTTATTTAATTAAAAAAATTCAATTTTCATTTATATTGAGTATTTAATTAACCCTTTGGCTTCCTCCCTTCGAAGGCATTTAATGCACCTTTTCTTTTCTTTTTTTTTGGTAAAATTTAATGCACCTTTTCACAGCACTGGGTTCTAAGATAACAGGGTCTTTAGAAGGTCCAACTCAAATTGGGCCAATTCATGGCCCAAAACTGCTCCTAGCAAGTTGAAAAATCATGTGCTCTCAGTGCCAGTGAATCCATATTTTCTTGTCGTCTTATATTATGCCACGTGGTAAAACATTCAAAAGAGACCATACTCATTCGTTGAGGTGCACTCATACAATACACCCGAGTCGCACCAAACCCCAAAAGAACTCCCGCAACTCAAACCTCGAAACGAAGTCGGAGAGTTCCACAACCCGAACTCGAAGAAGACCTAAATTCGAAGCTCCAGTGCCCTTCGAATCTCTGATTTCCGAGCTCAGAATCAAGAATTCAAGATGGATGAAGAATCAACGCACCCAATCAGGTTGATGAATTTCGTCTCTGAGCAACAGGTAATCTCTTTAATAAACCCTAAATTCTCCAATCTGCAGTTCCCGTTTTCCGGTGTTAATTGTGGTGTTGTTGGATTTATTATGGCAGTTGGATGAAGCAAAGAGAACGAGAGGCGAAAGAGTGGAGGATGGCACTGCCCAGAGAGATAGGCCCCTCTACGAGGTTTTTTTTTTCTCTTTGTATATATAATAATAAAAAAGATTTAAACTTTTCATTTTTTGGGATGGAATTAGGTGCAAACTGAGATTTTTATTTCAAAATTTTCATATGGGAGCTCAAAATTGTTGATTTGATTAAGAATATTTAAGAATCATTTGGTCCTATTTTTTTGGTTTTGATTTATGTATTGAGGTTGCCAGTAAAAGTAGATGCATGGAGATACTACTGATTAAGTTTTACAGATAGGTTTACAAAAGGGATTTAGCGGGATGGTTCAGTCATTGAGGATCTTATGTTCAGCTTTTGGTAGTTTGATGCTGATTTAATATGACATTTGCTTTTAATTGGGTGTTTATCCTTGGAAAGCTCAAAAAATGTGTTTTGCATTGAATAAGTTTAAAAAATTTACTTCTTACAAGCTTGTGTCCTTCCTCAATGCAGATTCTGAAGGAGAATAAAGACAAGCGAGATGCAGAATTTAATGAGCGTTTCAAACACAGTGAGTGCTCAAATATATTACGTGTTTTCTTAATGGCATTTGTCTGGTGCTACCAACTTATCAGAATTTGATTAGGGTATTGGTAAAAATGCTAGTTACTGCATTGTGCTTCATAGAATTTCTTCTTTTCTTCCTTCAAATTTGGTGGCGGAGTCAGATGGATGGAACAATTTGTTATTGTTTGGTAACTACTTAAAGAAAAAAAAAAGGCTTTAATTGCTCATTTTACTGCAGGGCCTCCCAAAGCTTTGGATGAAGATGAGACTGAGTTTCTTGATAAATTGGAAATGGTGAGGATATGTGATTGATGCATCATTGAGTCCCAGTTAGAAATCTCCATTTCAATATTTCTGAGACTGTTAAGTTGGATAAAAATTTAACTGCCCTTTTCAGGCTTTGCCAGATTTTTTCTTTTTTTCATTCTTTTTTTTCCTGTTCTATGTGGCCTTGAACTATGGAAACATTATATGGTTATATTTTCACCCATTACTGGTGCCTGTGATAAAAATTCTTCCTTTTATGTTGACCTCTTGGCACTAAGTGGTCCCTTTTCCTTTTATTTTGATTCTATTATTGTTCATTACTAACAGCTTCATGTTTATTCAGTCAAGACAAGAATATGAGAAACAAATGGCAGATGAAGAAGCTGAACAGCTCCGAAGTTTCCAAGTAATTTTTTTATGAATCTTCAATTCTATGGAAGAAATAACAAAATAATAAGTTGTGACGAAGCTGTACCGGGGAAGTTCCTTACCGTAAGTCCATCTCTAAAAATTATGTTTTGGTTTCTTTTTCAGGCAGCAGTGGCAGCAAAGTCAAATACTGTGCATGACCTAAAAGAACCACCACCTGTTCCTGTTGTACAGGTTGGTCTCAAATGATTTAGTGAACTTATTGTTAAAGTAGGCAGCTATACTTCAACAAAAAAAAAAAGTAGGCAATACTTCTATCGCGTGCCTTGATTTGTTTGATGTTTATTTTGCTCCTCTTATCTGCATTTGAATGCGTGTTTTGATCTGTTTAGTGAACAGAATAGCAGGTCCTTGTTGTTTTCAAGTTTCAGCCTCATGGCTTGAAACTAACGGCTTTCACACAATTTTCATTGATGCAATGCATATAGATTTTTGGCTGTCATGGTGCAGTTATGTGTAATTTCCTTTTTTTTTTTTTAAACCAACTAGTTTTAGGTAATTGAATGTCAGACTTGAACCATGGGGATAACTTTCAGGTTTCAGTCGTCTGCTATCCGCTTGTCCATGCAATGACAGTTTTCTGAATTCTTAAATTTTTCTGCTTCCTTTTTTTTTTTTCTTTAATCTCTCAGGAACAGAAACCAGTTGCAAAGAAGAAGCCAGCAGCTCACCCATTGAGCATGATGATCAAAGTGAAGCCACAAGCAAAGAAAGCAAAAACTAGCCATGGGAGTGCTGAAGAACCTTCAGACACAGCAAGATTGCCCGAAGTTGACGCTACAAAAATTCTAGATCCAGCAGAAGCACCTAATGGTGATACTGAACCAGATTCTACGAAAACAACCGAAGATGATGCCAGTAAGTGCCCTGATGGTGTTGCTAAGACATGTTTAGTTTCTTACAGTGACGAAAGTGAAGAGGATGATTGACAGTTTTATTCATAATATATTGTGTTTACAATTGTTTTGATCTAGTCATGCGGCCCATGCACTAACATGTTTAGTTGAGGAAGCTGAGTAAACCTGGAAATCTAACTTTACTTTCCAAATCAATTTGTTATTCTACTAACAATCCAAGCTCAAGGTTTTTCATAAGATATCGCAAGGACAAATGTAAGATTGCTCAGACAGGAGTCAGCCATGCACAAGAAACTAGTTTGCTTGTTGGAGCTGATTCAGTTCAACTACTCTGGCAATTAAAAAACCTCTGCCATCCGTTTCTTCTAGAAAGAGAATCTATATATGCTTGCTTGAGAAGATAAAGCAAGAATTGCATTTGGAACTTGTTCTCCTATTGTTGTCCCTGACGTTATCATAATAATCTATCTTGTACATAGTAGAACGGTACTTATTGTCAATTGGTTGAACTCTGAAGACGCTCACAATTACAAAATGCTTGATTAAGAGGCTGAAGCACTGGTTTGAAGGGATGCTAAGGAAGCATAAAAACCATCTCTGATGTTTATGAGGGTCTCATGCTTTCCTTTCTCTACAATTACCCCATTTTTAACCACAGCGATAACATCTACATTCCCGATTGTGGATAGCTGATGAGCAACTACAATTGTAGTGTGGTTAACCATGACTTGGTCCAGCACCTTCTGAACCTCACGCTTAGATCCAACATTGAAGGCACTTGTAGCCTCATCCAGAAGCAATACATCATTTGAGCAAGTGCTTCAAGTCTGTGGGGAACAGGATAGCACAGGTTCGAATGCTTGCTATAAGGGTAAAAAGGCCTTTTACATCAGTGACAATCCCATTTTAACAACCAAAACTCCACATAGTTATTTTTATTATTAAAAACAGTATTGACAACAAATCCTCCTCTAACAAATACAATATTTTGATCCAACCTTAATATGTACTGTTCTAGTTGAAACTCTTTTATATTATTTATTTACAGTCTATATATATATATATGAGGTTAGTATTTGTTCGCCTTACCTTCAAAAAATTAAGAGAAAAAAAAAAAACAAAAATCACATTAATGCATGTTTTAAAAATAAGGTAGTTTAGTTTTTTTCAATAAAAATTTATTGAGACGACGTAGTTTTGAGATGATTTTCCTCATAATCTTTAGGAGATAAAGTTGATAGGCATTTTTTCTTTTATATATATATTTATATATATATATATTTTTTCCATTGACAGCATAGCAAAGAATTATTAACTCGCATATTACCCTAGCATGTTTCATGCTTCATTATTTTCTTCAACCAGAAAAGGAATATTTTAGAACGCTGATATTGAGTAAAAAAGTTAAAATCACAGAATAGAAGCATCAACATCACATCACCTCCATTTTTTGGCCTGCAATCACCTCCAATTTAAAAATGTCATGTTCTTTTTCCATTTGAGGCTTTTGTATGAATTTGAAACAAAGCAAATTCGTTTTATTTATGGGAGAATCAAATCAACTAAGGCATGCATGTTCAATTTATATAGGAAAAGGATATAACCTATTACAAATAGAAAATGATAGGAAAAGGACATAACCTATTACAAATAGGAAATGATCCTCAGTAAATACTTACAAAGCATAATTATGCAGCCGAAGCAGTGGTGTGAAGTGCTACTAAGGAGGCATAGAAACCACCTTTGATGTTTATCAGGGTCTCATGCTTTCCTTTCTCTACAATAACTCCATTTTTAACGACAGCAATAACATCTGCATTTTTTATGGTGGACAACCGATGAGCAACTACAACTGAGGTGTGGTTAACCATGACTCGGTCTAGTGCATCCTGAACAACATGCTCAGATTCAGCATCTAAGGCACTTGTAGCCTCATCTAGTAGCAATATCTTTGGATTTTTAACAATGGCACGTGCAATGGCTACACGTTGTTTCTGTCCACCTGATAACTGAACCCCTCTTTCTCCTACCATGGTATCATAACCCTGCATTTTAAAGTACAAGCTCAGTAAGCAATCTAAATATTAGTTTTAACAATAGCTGTAACCCACTGATAAATTTCCTAACCAGTTGTAATCCACTGATGAACTGGTGGGCATTAGCTGACTCTGCTGCAGCCAAAATTTCTGCCTCGGTTGCATTTCCTTCCTTACCATATGCAATGTTGGCTCGAATTGTATCATCAAACAATACTGGTTCTTGGCTCACAAGTCCCATTTGCTGCCTCAACCACTTCAATTGGAGCTTCTGGATTTCAACACCATCTAGAGTAATACAACCTGAATCAGGGTCATAAAATCTCTGCAATAATGATATAACCGTTGATTTTCCACTCCCACTTTCTCCAACTAATGCAACTGTCTAGAAAAAGACATTGAAACCAAAATAGTTTAGACTTCCGTGTTATTGAAATGGAAAGTGGCAAAATTTTCTAGACTTATTTCTCTCCAGCTAATTGTTTGAAAGAAATCATGTCTAAAATTTAGTTTTATGGTTACCTTGCCAGCATGAATAGCCAAGTTCAAATCTCGAAAAATCTGAACATCTGGTCTCAATGGATACTTAAAGCTTACATGCTGAAGCTCAATTTCTCCCTTCAAATTGTCTAATGTCATCCCAGACTCATTACTGGGGTCTATCTTAGACTTTCTATCAACAATTGAAAATATAGAAGCAGCAGCAGTCTTGGCTTTGCTAGAATCAGGTGCAAATGAGCTTGATTGAGAAATTGCAATGGCTGCAAAGCTCAAAGCAAAGAAAACCTGAAAAACAAAAATTAGTCTTAGTAACCCCTCCACACATCTAAGAACTGGCCAAATTCTAATACATTTCTTAACCAAAAAATCTTGGTTTTATAGTTATATTTAAGTTAAAGGCCCCTCAAAAGTTAGGTAAATAGACAATTGCTGTTTTTGAAGTCTTGAAATATTCTAAGAGAAAGAAAGTCAATGGAATCTTGAAAGATATACTCACTTGAAAAACATCTGAGAATGTTGCCTGTCCATGCTCAACCAGTTGAGCTCCTGCATAAAAGCTAGTTGCATAAACAGAAAAAATTAAGAAGAAAGAAAGTCCAAATCCTATCCCACTGATTAACCCCTGCTTTATCCCTGTCTTCAAAGGGCCTTCACATTTCTTTCTATATAGTTGCATCACTTTTTCTTCTGCACAAAACGAAGCAACTGTTCTTATACTCCCAACTGCATCATTAGCAATTTGGCTTGCTTCCTCATACATTGTCTGCATCCATTTATAAACTTGAAGAATGTAAAGCAATGTATCATATAATTGAAGTGGCAGACTTAAAATACATAAGATATGTTTTTTACTTTCTCCTATCATTTATGTTTTTAATGTGAAGCATGTCAAAATCCAAATCATTAGTTTAAAGAATTATACCTTTGCATCCGCACTGAATCCCTGCAAGAATTTAATTTGAAGGTATCCATTGATACCTATCAAAGGAAGTAGTACAACGATGATGAAAGCCAACTGCCAACTTGCAGTGAAAGCAATAACCAAACCAGCAACTGCTGAAGCAGTGTTTTGAACGATCTGGGCTAGGGCATCTCCAACAAGAGCACGCACTGTTGCTGCATCAGCTGAGAGCCTTGCACCAATTGAACCGCTTGAGTGTGTAGGTTCATCAAACCAACCAATCTCCATGTGAACCACCTTCTCAAAACACATGGATCTGATTCTTTGGATTAATTTTGATCCAGCCACAGAAAATAAGTATGTTGTTGCTGGATATGCCAATAATGATGCCACGCCAAGGGAAATAAATATTAGGGCCCAAAAACTAGTATCCTTTTTCAGTTCAGCACCTGGTTTATAGAATGCCTTGATCACTTGTGAGATCAGAATACCGAATGTGGGAAGTATTGCACCATTGGCAACTGCAGCTAGGCTTCCAAGTAGAAGAACTGGAATTTCTGGCTTGTTGAGAGCAACAAGGCGGCTAATTGGGACAGGAGGATGCTCTAGTGGTGATGCAGAAGGGGCTTGTTCATTTGTCATTTCAGTATCATTACCATTTATGCCAGTTGGTAAGCCAAAAGAAGGTGAAAAGGAGTGACGACTGCTGTTTCCTACTCCAGATGATCCCCTACTGATTGATCGCTTCAATGACATTCCCATGCTTTGTTGTCTACTTGATTCCACAGTAATATCTGATCTGTTTTGGTCATCTGCCACCTCTTCTAACTCTGTCTTCACTTCTTGTAAATGAATAAGCTGAGAGTAAGCTCCATCAGGATCTTTGAGTAGTTCTGTATGTGATCCTGCTCAATTGACACACATGTTATCAATAGTCAAAATCTGATGTTATTAGCCTGATGATTGCATGGAAATTTCTGAATTTTATATCGTAACAGGCAGGATATCTACTACTAATTCATAGAACAATTGAATTATCATAGATGACAATCTAATGTAGTGTATTACACAAGAAGCTGCCTAGAATTTCTAATTGTAGAATGCAGAAATGTGAAGGTCATTTTAATTTGTCGCACAACTCCACCACTAAGTCACATAGATATTTCTAGGGGTATCATTTCTCTAATTATTATTTTCTAAATTCTAAACATATTATTCTTATTTAAAAATAAAAGGAATATTGTCCCTTTTCCAAGATCAGGAAACTTCAGATTTGATGCACATAACTAAGGTATGTTCACAGGATATCTACAACTTTTCAGGATTCAAGCATCAACAAATTTTGCCAAAATGTGGACTAGAAGTTTTTTCTAGACTCTAGTATATTTTAGATTTATGATGTGCTTCTATAGCTATAAGTTTCAAGATACCTTTTTCAACCATCTTTCCCCGCTGAATAACTGCAATAGTATCTGCTTTTCTGACAGTGCTCAAGCGATGGGCAACAATGACTGTAGTTCGATTGACCATAATCCTGTCTAATGCCTCTTGCACTATCCTTTCAGATTCTGCATCAAGTGCACTTGTAGCTTCATCTAAAAGTAAAATCCGAGGGTCTTTTAGAATTGCTCTTGCAATGGCAACCCTCTGCTTTTGTCCACCAGAGAGCTGTGCACCATGTTCACCAACCATGGTATCTAGTCCCTATGTACAAAATTCAATGTTAAAAATGTAAATATACATGTTATATGGGCATAAGGTGAAGAATGCACATTAAGAAAATGTTGAACTAGACTAACAGATTATAACCTTAGGTAGTTTGTCTATGAATTTGGAGGCATTTGCAAGTTCAGCAGCTGCTCTAATCTCTTCAAGTGTTGCATCTTCCTTTCCATATGCAATGTTATCTTTGATACTGCCAGTAAACAATACAGGTTCCTGGCTGACCAGACCAATCTTTCCCCTGATCCATTTTAGCTGAAACTCCTTGAGGTTAATGCCATCAATAAGAACTTCACCAGCTTGTGGATCATAAAATCTTTCTATTAGACTGATGACTGTGGATTTCCCACTTCCACTTTGTCCAACTAGAGCAGTTGTCATGCCACATGGAATGAATAGAGAGAATCCACTAAATATTCTCTCATTAGGTCTGGCTGGGTAGCTGAAATAAACATCCTTCAACTCTACATTCCCACGAATGTCCTCCAATATCTTTCCCCTCATGTCATAAGAATCTATTGCTGGATTCCTTCCAATGGTCTCAAACATCTTATATGCAGCCGCTTGACCAGCAGCAAAGGCACTCATACAAGGAGATGCCTGCCCCAGAGACCTGAAACATCCATAAGTGGATTGAGCTATAGTTTTCTATGGATTATACATAGTATGCTCAATGGGAGATAAAAAATTTGACTCACATGGAACCAGTTATGACAGAAACAATAACATTAAGTATTTGACCACCAGTGTATCCTTTCTCCAAAATCAATTTCCCACCAAACCACACAGCCAAAGAATAACTGCAGAAAATAATTAGCATAACGATACCAAGACCAAGTCCAGCAGCAAGGCCTTCATAAACACCTGAATTGTAAGCAGTAACAAGACACTTGCGGTAGTTGCTTATGGCTTGCTCCTCACCAGTGAAAGATGCAACCTAAAATCAGATTGAATAATCAGATAACAATGGAAATCAACAAAGTGTCTTTTACGTGTTTTTAAGATATGAAACCTATAGCTCTGATAGAACCGTCAGTTTAATATATGAAACCTACAGTTCTGATAGAACCAATTGTCTGTTCAACTACTGTTGCTGCTTTTGCATAAGCATTCTGTCCTTGGGATGACATCTTGGAAATCACAAGGGCTACGGCTCCCCCAGCTACCCCAAGTAGAGGTATAGAACTTAACATGACAAGTGTAAGAAGCCATCCCTTGACAAATGCAATTACAAAGCCACCAAAGAAGGTTGCTGTTAGCTGTAAGAATTTTCCAACCTGCGAAAACATAAGCAGACATATAAACTGTAGTCTATATCTTACATATCCTAGACTATCGCAACTCAATGTGTCTTTCCTTACCTTCTCACCCATTGCATCTTGTATGAGAACAGTGTCACCAGACATCCTCCCTACAACCTCTCCCGTGTTCGTTTCCACATCAAAGAAAGCAACATCTTGTCTCAATATAGTTTTTAAGTACAAGCCCCTTATCCGAGCAGCTTGTCTTTCTCCTGTGACAATCCAGCAAGTTACCTCTGCCAAAAAAGGAAGGATTTTCAGAAAATAAATACATCAAATACTTCAGTATGGAATTTACATATTAAAAATTACTTACGAAGAAATGCTGCTGCAGCAGACCCAATTCCCAGATAGATATATTTCAGACACACCTGAAATTTTTTTAGGAAGTCCAAAAATTTTTAACATCAAAAGGGTGAAGCATTAAAAGAAAATAATTGTTCTTCACGTGATGGGTGGAGTGGAAACACCTTGAAAGTAATTAAACACAAAAATTATTTACCAAGTTGGTTGTTTACCATTACCTTGGAAACCACACGAACAATCTCCTGGTCCTTCTGGCTCTGGCCAAAAGCATCAACAATTTCACCAAACACTATGGTCATCAGAGGCATGCACAAACCATTTGCAATGGCACCAATAGTGCCAACAAGCATTAGGAAGTAATCAATTGAATCAGCAAAAGAGAACAGCTTGTGAAATGGAACTATGTTGGTTTTTTCATTGCCTTTGCCACTCTTCTCTGATCCTAGATTTTCCACACATGCTCCTGAGCCTTCTCCAGTGTCCTTCTGGCTTTTTGAAGTACTTGCCTTTTGTAACTCTGTCTTCCCATTTGGGCCATTCTCCATGGCCATTGCCCAAGCCCCAAGTTCACAATCTGGAGAGAACAATCAATAGCCAAAACCAGCAACTTACAAGCAAGAAAGCTTGTAGCTAAGATCACTCACAACAAGCTGAAAATGGTTTTTAATTCCATTTACATCTGACAATTTGAATATTTCTCTTCTCTCTCCAGGAAGAGATCATTCATTTATTATGAAGCTAAGCAGACATTAAGCAACAAAGAAAAAATATTTTTTAAAAAATTGAAACTTTGAGCTCAAGCCTCAAGAACCTTCTTTCAATTCTCCAGAATTAGATTCCAGAAAAAGAATCAAAAGCAGGGACGTCTGTTTTTGTTTAGATCAAACAGCAGCATTAGGATTGTTCTTCTAATGAATCAATTCCGGAATCAAGATTAAATAATCTAACTTTTTGGAAGTATAAGTCAAGCAACTTAAAAAGACTATATTTTAATATCCGGATTGCAATGATGAAATAATTTTTCCCATGAACACAACACAGAGAATATAGATTCAAGAGCAACATAAACAAATTAACAAATAACAACCCATGTCCCTAAAATCCCATTAAACCATAAACCTCAACTTTCTAGTCAAAGACATCAACTTTGTTATGACAAATGGCATTCATCAAAAACCCACATCCCAAAAACACAAAAAAATACATCAACTTTGTTATAATGAATGGCATTCATCAAAAACCCACATTCCCAAAAACACAAAATTTGCAAATAAAATCACAGGGAAATGCGTCGTTGTAAGAAGTGAAATGATTGATCAAGAAGCACTAACCTCCAGAAAGATCAGAAGGGTAGCTAAGATGAACAATCGTTGAAATATGGAGTTTGTTTCTTTATTCCGCTACTACCTTTCGGTTGCTATTTTCTCTGAGTTGTTTGATTTTGCTTGATGAGCAAGTATTCTATACGTTTATTTTCCAAAAATTATTTGGCAAGTCGCATCAACAGACTGCCTGTCCAAAGCGCTTCACAGTTGTTCATTCTTGGCAAGAGGAGGGCTACATCCTAAACAGTTTTTGAAACCTTTCTGAATTCTGCTATTTGTATACGCCATTATTGCAACGTAAAGGAAAACAGAGTAAAATTAAGCAATTCAGGTTTTATAAACAGAGCAATACTAGTATTATTTTTTTTAGGAAACTAAACAGAACTATTCATAAGAGTTTAGCTACATTTTATTTTTTTTTTTTTTAAATGGAAGAAAGAAAGCAAAACTAATAAAACAAACAATGGGAACGAACTTTGCTTTTTGTAGCTTTTTGCTTTAAACAATTGGATTTAATGGCTCCTGATGGGTGGGGTTGCATGCCTCTTAATTCTTCGTAACTTTTTCTATTTGTTTATTGCTTTATAATTATAAATCTACTCGACATATTATACGCTACTGCTAGTTTATACATCTACTCCAACCCCATAAAATATTTTTTTAGCAAGTAAATAATCTTTATATATATATATATAACAAGGGTATCCAGGTTGTTAGTATGATTAATCTCACCTATCTTGCAAATAACCACAAAAGACACAAGAGAGACAATTTGATAATTAAAGGTATCAACTATCAATCCAGTCTCAACCCCTTCTTTTGCCCTGTATGTGGAGATTGTGTTAAGGACTTAAATCATATGTTTTTTAGAGAGCAATAAAGTTTTCTCATGTGTGGATGATCAGTGCTGCCGGTGGGAGATACTACCAAGCAAACTAATGGGGTCAGTTGTAACTGGACAATGATAAAACAAAACAAAACCAATGAGAACAATAAAATCTTATCAAAAACATATATATGTCTTTTGAAGTTTAATGGCCAACTAATTATGAGAGTAAAGCTGTAAGTGACCAAAAGCCGCTGCTCTCCTGGATCCCATTAACCCTTGTCATGTGTGATGTGTCTCGTGTGCCTCACCAATAATTACCCCAGTTTAATATATATATCCTGAAATGGGTTTGTATCTAACAGAATTTAAAGATATAGAAATTATGATGTTGTATATATTAGGATTTAAAGACCTAGAATTTGTGATACTAAACTATTAGAAATTAAATAGATAGATTGCTTAGTTGATATGAGACTCATAAATGTATCATAGATTCTGTAGGAGTTGGTAGAAAGTTCTCCTGGTAGGTATTTGTTAAGATTTTTCTTCATGCACTACATATGTGATGGCTTTAATGGATAGATACAGAACAATAAATGTAAAGAGAAGACTTTAATTTATATCAAAACTTTAATGATAACATTCCTCAAGTTGGGTTTGGGCCTACGTTATATTTATAAGATATTTCAATAATGATATTTAGGTCAAATATATTGGGTCGAATAAGGGGTCAAACGACGTGGCTTGCCACATTGTTCCCTTACATGGCTTTTCTTAAGAAAGAAAAAAAGGCAAATTAGGTTCTTGTTCTAGATCCTTCTAATTGCTACTTTCTTCCTATGTTCCCAATAACAGGTATCATTACTCATTCTTCTCCTTCACTTCAATTTATTGACTAGACCACTGATGCTTCGTCTCAACTAATTTCAGCCTTCAATTTTCTTTTCAATTGTTCATTAGATTTTTTATTGTGATTTTTACTGTGGGGAATCTTCTCTTAATCTTCTTTCGGATTCATTTTATGGGGATTTCTCCTTTTCTGCTCGTTAAGCAAGAATCAAACTCAACTCCCTTAATTTGATTAAATCCAATTTTCGTACTCAATCTTTCATTCTTTTTCTTTATATAAACTCTCTCCTGTTATTCCTTCTCCACACCTCCCAAAACTCTTCAGCTCACTATACTCTATTTTTCTACTCTCTTTTTTTTTTTTTTCTTTGAGGTGGTGCAAACAACCTCGATTTCATGTGCAAAATTGGTCCTTGGTCCAAGGTCCTAGAGCTCTCAATTTAGGGAGTAATAAAGCAGAGGAAGGTTTCCTCAGACTCGAATGAATGGTTAACAGAACTGTTAGCTCAAACAAAAAAAAAAAAAAAGTGAGCAGAACTTACCTATTCACTGGTGGACTAGTTGATGAAGTGAAGGAAGTGAAGGAGAGGAATCGGAAGATGACGGCAGACTAGTTGATGAAGTGAAGAAGTAGAATTGGTATATGACCGCTGCTAGGGAACGCGGGAAGAGAAAGAAGCGAGAAAATTTTAGAAGGAATTAGGA